ATTAGGAGGAAATGAGAATAGAGGTGGTTGTAGGAGAGAGTAAGGGAAGAGAGAGTATATACACCCTTGAACTTGAGGACTAAGGCCTTGTCTACACAATAGAAAGGTATTGTGCTAATGGCAGATCACGGATCTAGCATCTACATACAAAAATGCTCCTAATAGTATACATGTGTGCTAAACATTTTTCAGATGAGACTTGCTTTGATCATGGCTAACCACTTTCAGTCTGATAAGATAAGAAATAAGAAGCCAGCGAAAGGATTCAAATATTGAAGGGAGGTGGTATGGACAGAGCAAAAGGAGATGACATTAATTGTACTGTTTTGGAGAGAAGAGAGACAGGAAGGCTAAAAAGCATAATTTTACAGTACCCAAGCTGACAAATGATAAAGGCATGGGCAAGAGTTTTAAATAGGGGAATGCCAAGAAAAGAATAAATTTTAGTGGTCCCAGGAGAAGCAGCAAATACCCTTTAGTGGGAAAATGGATATTTGGGAAGAGGGGGCATGATAACAGGGGAAAAGAATAAAAGATGACATTGAGTTTGAGATTTAGAGACCAGGATTTAATGCTGATAGAAAGGGATTAGAAGGAACTAAAAAAGTTCTTTAGTTCTGTAAAGACTGAGATGACACTGACATCTAGATCTCAGAGATGCACAAGACAATTGTGAAAAGCAGTACAAAACAAAACTCCTCAAAATCTGTCAGAGTAAGACACAAGATACACGAGGAACAGACCCCTGTTGAGTAAAAAGGTCTTTTAAAAAAGCAACCTACACCTTTCACAATAGAACAATGCTAAAATGAATTTTCTGACTCAGGTGGGAAAAAAATCCAGAAAAAAAGATTTTTTTTTAGCCCCTGTATGTATGTGAGGCCTCTCTGGAGACAAACAGGACATTAACACTTTCTATAACTGCCTTAATTACTGAGAACTGTCTTATTTATATGTATGCTGACAATTTCGGTTTTACAAGGGAAAATTTGTTTTCATATTATCAGTGTGTCTATTCTGATTTTGGTTTATTTCATAGGACAGAGAAATACAACCAGTACTTACTCCTTCTATAAGTCCCTCAGTTAGTATTAAGTGTCTTAGAATCATCCTAGTTCAAACAAATCCACAACTGAGAAATCTACAAACAATCATTATTTCAGGGTGGATCTGCTTTGCACAAAGCGCTGTACAAACACATAGGACATGCTCCCTGTTCCAAAGAATTTACAATCTAAAAAGACAATAGAGTGAGGGGTGGGGGGAAGGATACAATATACTAGCAAACTGATCAGTGATGTCTGGCACAGATCTGGTTAGTTCCATGGTATTGTTTATGTTTTAATTTGTATTTATTTAATCATTGAATAAGCTATCCCTAACAATCTTCCAGAGATATCGAGGTGAAATGAACTCTCTATGCTTAGGCTACACTAGAGGTGTCTGGTTTTTGACCGGAAAGTCTGGTCTAATAGGGGACCTGACAGTGTCCGGTCAGATCTACTAACCAGACACCAAAAGTCTGGTTCATGCGGGCAGGGAGGCACCAGGTCATCACCCGTACCACCCCCTACTCAGCCGGGGCCACCTCCTACCTGCCTAGGGTAGCTGCTGCTCTGTGACCCAGCTCTGCAGGCGAGTCTCTCCCAAACCGAGCAGAGGGGGAGAGTAAGGGGGGGAAGAGGGGGGAAAAGCAGCGAGCAATGGGGAGTGGAGGAGGAAAGAGGAACAAACGGGAGGCATGGCCTTGGGAAGGAAAAGGCAGGGCAGGGGAGTGTCCCGTTTTTAAATATTACAAAGTTGGCAACCCTAAGATACACCCTACAGTATTTAAGAGTTAATACTCAGCAGCACTACAAGAGGTGTAAGAGATGATCAATAGCAAAAAGGATCTCATGTATAGGCCCCAACATACATGTTAAGATTTTAAACTTTCATAACACCAGAAACAATGTAAATCCCTTTCTTCCTTCTGCTTTGGCCCACATATTCCCATATGGCATGGTGGGAGGAGACATGCAGAATATAAGACTATTTCTTCTATCATGGTGTGCTTCCAGGGCCTACAACATGGCACTCAGCTAGAGAGGAGTGCAGACGCAAGAACTTTCCACACACACATGACATTTCTCTCCTACAGATCTCTGCAGATCAGTGGGCTTGGAACCCCATTCTCCTTTATGACAGAGGGAGGGTGGGTGGTATGTGTGTGCACATGCGTGCCTGTCCAGCCAAGTTTTCCCTCTTTTACAGAAGAATTCAATGAAAAAAACTGAGTTAAAATGAAAAGGAGTACTTGTGGCACCTTAGAGACTAACCAATTTATTTGAGCATAAGCTTTCGTGAGCTACAGCTCACTTCATCGGATGCATAGAAGTCCACTTTTATGCATCCGATGAAGTGAGCTATAGCTCACGAAAGCTCATGCTCAAATAAATTGGTTAGTCGCTAAGGTGCCACAAGTACTCCTTTTCTTTTTGCAAAGACAGACTAACACGGCTGTTACTCTGAAACCTGTTCATAAAATTGTTTACAAAAACACATGCTGAAAATCACCTCATATAGAAGATTCTTAGGTACTTTCTCTGAAACTTATTTTGTTGATGGCTAAATATACTTATTACAGCAAGATTAAATTGCTTTTTATAAAGCCTCAGCATGCAGTGTTTCATTCCCTTATAATTCTGATAAATGTTTCCAATTCAGCAACAAAAGCAAATGCTATGTTGACTCCTAAACAGAGAGAATTTTTGTTTTGTTAAGGATATAAACCATAAATTGTGCAGTGTTTACTCATCTGTTTGCCCCTGCACCAACAAAATTTTCTATATATGGGTACACTCTCCAAAGGGAATGCAACACACTGAAACTATATTAGCTAGATTGATCTCTCTCTAATAGGCTTATTAATAAAAACTCTGCTCCCTTTAAATAAAGATTAATGATCTTCTTTAGAATATCAAGTCACTGCAAAATAATTTTAAAAGCTAGAAAGTAAACAACATGAAAATTAATGAGAGATGGCAAGTTAGCTATTGTAGCATTTCTAATATTTACAACAACAAAAAAAAGCACAGCAAGACATGTTACTTTGTGTAGTACAGTTGAGCTAAGTAATAAAGGATGTAATGGAAATAAACTGACATTTTGGTAATAACCAAGAAAAAAAGATTAATTAAATAACACATTACTTATTTTCCACCAATTAACATACACCTTTTGATAAAAATAATAGTGATATAATACATTATTTATTTTAGCACCAGAAATAAGATGTAAGACAGAAACAAAACTATTACCATAATTTTATGGACATAATTAGGTTTACAATTTAAGATATTTGATTAGCACAGCCACAATCAGTTTAAGGCACTTTTCATGATTTAGTTTGCTGAATAAGCTGGTTGGCAATATATCAGTTTCAAAGGATGAAGTAAATATTTTTTTTCTTTAGGTTGTACTCACGTTCGGCTTCATAATCAACATATGAATATGGAAATTAAAATACAGATTTATATGCCCAGATTGACAATTGAAGAACACTGCAAAAATGCACGAGGATATAACAGATTCATAGCTAAAATAATTTTCTTCAGTTGAATCTTTTATTCTCAAAAATACTTAAGATTTCTATAGCTCTGAAATCTTTTACCTCTACATTATTTCTTTCTAATTTAGTGTAAAACTAATTCTTAACACAGCTAAGCACAGAACAAATGTTACTCTAAAGTAATTTTAAAAACAGCCCTGAAAAGCTGTTGTGTGCGTATTATTTTCAGCAGCTGTAAAGATTAATTTTGCTATACATTAGCTATATTAAAGTTAAATATTAAGTTGGTCATAGAAAATATATTCAACTATATGCTCTGCCAGTTATTAGTATTTTTATACTTTTGATACAATGCAACTATCAGAAAATTCTGAAGCATTTTAATCTCGGATAAATCATAGCTGACATTTGTAGGTATGAAACATCAAATGACATTCAAGACATCAAATGACAACTAATTTCCCCCAATAGGAAAACAACAATTAACCTGCATGAACTGCTGTCCGATTCATTTTCTTCTTCACTCGCTCCATCATCTGCTTCTGATCTATCAAAACAACGTGCATCTCCACAGTTTTCTGTTGTGAACTCAAATGTAGGGACTTCAGATGTGGATGCCATTGGCCAACGAGGTGAATTCTGGAAATCCTGTTGGCTAGACCTTCTGTAACCAATTGATGCCAAAGGTAGTGGTAGGTTACCTGGATCTAAAAACTTTGTCCCACCAGTTGTTGCATTTTCTCCTCTGTTCCAGAAGTCTTCCCGGTGGCTGTCCATTCCAGAATTAGGGATTGATGACTGGTGACCAAACCATCTCCATCTGATTTTTAAAATCTGCTTCACGTCAAACTCTTTACGAGAGCCAGACATCCTCAATGAAAGCAAGTGATCGTCTAGGCAACAGGGCAAGAAGCAATGCACATAAAAGAAGATTTGTGCATCCAACCAAGACTAGAGAAACACATGCTCTTCCTGCATATGGCAAGCAAATTTTGGGAGGGACTGCATTCACATACATAAAAGCGCTTTTTTAAAATCATATGTCATCTGAATATAAACAAATGGCAAGAGATGATGAAGAATACTGGGATGAAAATACAAGGCGAAACAGTCACCACAATCAAGAAAAATGCTAATCAGGTCACACTGAAGCAGCCAATGCACTTTCTATTGCTTTCCTCCACATCCTCTGACCATTAGCTTTAACAAACACTAACAGCATTCATTAAAGCTCTTTCAAATGCTGAATACCACCCCCTTTTCTTAAACCACAAATGACAGAACGTAATTCCTATGCTGCATTTCAGAATCTCTACTGCTCTACTGTGTTAACTCTTGCTAATACAAATAGGAAAAAAAATCTGTGATTCTAAAAAGCAAATGAAACACTTCCTTGCACTGTTAGAAATCACTAATAAAACAGGCTAAAATATTCCAATATACTGATTCTATTTCAGGAAAATCTGAACTGGAAAGGATTCCAAGACATGCATCAAATTGTTTTTCAAACAGACTAGATGGCTCGGGGACTGGTAAAGGGTTACAGAGCCTTTCATCTTGACATGCTGGTTTGAATCAAATCTGGGTCTGTAGTGACTGAAAGTTATTACTGATGGTTGCTTAGTAGCCTAGGAGAAATGCACTAATGGTCTCAGTCTATTTACACATCATGAAAACCATAATCTCAGCTGCAACTAATTGATCATCATCAAGGAGCCAGAGGCACCACAGACTCAAGGGGCATCAAGACCACACTATCTTCTGACCTCTAGAACTGGACCCTACAGGTAAAATTTAAAGTGCACTGGTCAGATGCAGTTTTATTTTTCCACTCTCTCTGCAGAAAGGAGTTCAGTCTGTAGTGCTATCCAGACATGTATTTTATAAGCAGTAATTTAACTTTTAAAATCCCATGTCAGAATTCTCTATTTGTTTTTGGAAAATAGAGGGTCAAACAACAGGGATATTTTAAATCACAGTTTGCTACAGGAGTTCCGATATTTACTCCTGAAGGAATTCCGCACCAAAAAAATAAAAATCCTGCAAACAATATTTTAAAATTCTGCAAAATGTTATGGTTAATAAATAAATGTGGAGGCACCAGCATGACAGTGGGGAGCACAGGCCACTGACTGCACAGAGGTGGGAGATCACCCTGCAGCCCTCGCCCAGGGACATGGACTCGGTGGTGAGGCTGCACCCGACCCTGACACAACGCAAGGGCCAGACCTGCCCCAGAAACACCCTGGGGCTCTGCCCCTCCGTGCCAAGCACACTAGATGTAGGCAGGCAGGCTCAGCCCAGCAGGATCCAAGTGTGGAGGGGCTTAGTGTGGGGAGATAAGGGTTCTGTGTGGGGCAATCTGGCCGCGGGCAGCTGGGAGGGGTGGTCTGGGTACAGGGGGGATCTGGATGAACAGGGGCTCATTGTAGTAGGGGTTCTGGATGGAGAGGCAATGGGACTCTGCAGGGGAGGTCCAGGTGAAAGTGGGTGGGGCTCAACAAGGGGAGGTCTGGGTATGGAGGGTTCAGCGGGGGGGGGTGTTTCTGGGTGCTGGCTTGATGGGGTGAAGGTCCGAGTGCTGCTTGGTGGGGAGATGGTCTAGATGCAGGGAGCTAGTCAGGGTAGTCCAAGTGCGGTAGGGCTTGCTGGGATGGGGGTTCAAGTGTGGGGGTGCGGTCTGGGTGTAAGTGTGGTCTGGATGCAGGGAGGTGGGGCTTGGCTGGGGTGTTTGGGTACAAGGGGTCTCCAGTTGCAGAGGGTGAGGCTTGTTGGGGTGTGGGTTCAGGTTTAGGGGAGTCAGTGGGGGGGGTCTGGGTGCAGGTGGTGAGGCTTAGTGGGGCAATCTGGATATGAGGTGGGTCCAGATGCACGGGAGTTGGGCAGCTGGGGGAGCAGCTCCCCATACAGTGACCCCCTCCCATGGCTGAGGAGCAATGGGAGCAGGAAGGAGGGGGCATGTGGAGCTTCCTACACCTAGAGAGGTTTCTGGGGCTGGGTCTGACCCAGCCCTGGCCACTCCTTGCAGGGGAAGAGGAAGTCCCATCCTCCCCAGCCCTGCCAGGAACAGCAGCTAAGCCTGGCACAGGGTAGAAGCCACTGGCTGGGGCGTCCCCAGCCCCCCGCCCCCCACTGATTTACCTCTCCCTGGCTGCTCCAGATGCCTGAAACAATGCACCTGCACTGCTGGGGAGCAGTGCATGACTGGTTTTGCAGCTTCCCTTTGCTTCCCCAACAGAAAGTGATTTTTCTGCAGGGAAGCAAAGAAATCTGTGGGAGACACGAATTCTGCGCATGTGCAGTGGTGCAGAATTCCCCCAGGAGTACTACTATGTAAGACTGGAGGTTGGTTGAAAACTAGCTAGCAGACTCTCAATCCAGAAAAAAAAGGAGATGGTCCTGGTGGCTTGGGAGAAGCAATTAGAATGTGCAGCAAGGATTTTATCAGAACCATGATTAAAGACAGTGAGGCTGTGCTACACTACAAACTTCAGTTGATGTAAGTTACATCAGCATACAGCTGCTGCAGTTTGCATATTGCTCGTTCACATGCATACTTGGCTGCTTGCATTGGTACTGTTTGTACTCAGCAGTGATTATGTTTATGTAGGTTGCAGTGCATCACAGGTAGGTATTCCAGTGTGGCACTCGCCACTGGCCAGGTCACTGCCTTTTGAGAAATTTTCACAACGTGTTGTGAGATAGAAATGAGTAACAAAAAGGTGCCTGTGAACAAGGAGTCAAGTTCCCATCATGCAACTTTCTCCATCCCATAATGCCATCCATCTCATAATTTTCACACAGCAGACGGTGGAGCACCATGTCCAGGCCCAAGAAACGAGCAGTAACTGGTGGGAGTTACAGTAGTGGGTGCTTTGACTAGCAGCATAAGTTGTGAAGTAATAAAAATGAATTTAAAAAATACAAATTTTCTGCATGCCAAAAATGGTGCAAAAAACATGCAGTTAAAAAAAAAAAACACAATACAAACTACCAAAATAAAAAGAAAAGGAGTACTTGTGGCACCTTAGAGACTAACCAATTTATTTGAGCATGAGCTTTCGTGAGCTACAGCTCACTTCATCGGATGCATACCGTGGAAACTGCAGCAGACTTTATATATACACAGAGAATATGAAACAATACCTCCTCCCACCCCACTGTCCTGCTGGTAATAGCTTATCTAAAGTGATCATCAGGTGGGCCATTTCCAGCACAAATCCAGGTTTTCTCACCCTCCACCCCCCCACACAAATTCACTCTCCTGCTGGTGCTAGCCCATCTAAAGTGACAACTCTTTACCTTGATTATGTAAAGAGTTGTCACTTTGGATGGGCTAGCACCAGCAGGAGAGTGAATTTGTGTGGGGGGGTGGAGGGTGAGAAAACCTGGATTTGTGCTGGAAATGGCCCACCTGATGATCACTTTAGATAAGCTATTACCAGCAGGACAGTGGGGTGGGAGGAGGTATTGTTTCATATTCTCTGTGTATATATAAAGTCTGCTGCAGTTTCCACGGTATGCATCCGATGAAGTGAGCTGTAGCTCACGAAAGCTCATGCTCAAATAAATTGGTTAGTCTCTAAGGTGCCACAAGTACTCCTTTTCTTTTTGCGAATACAGACTAACACGGCTGTTACTCTGAAACCTACCAAAATAAATTAACAGAACACAACTTGAAAATTAGAAAGGTAGAAAACATCCCTGCCCATTTCAGCTACACATAAATTGATCTGTGAGATCTGCAGTTAGCATATGTGAACTTTGGTTGGAGTTACTGTTCCTTGGAGTGGAGTGGTAGGGGTAGGGATGTGACCTGCGATGCCACATGGAATGTTGGGGGGATGTAGAGAGCTGCTAAACTGGAGTTCTCCAGTGACTGCAACCGGTGGGCAAGCCATGACTGCTGGACCTGTAGGTCAACAAGCATCTGCAGCACTTGCATTTTCTATCTGAGAAGCCCTATTATGTCCTGGTGCATCTCCCTCTCCTTTTCCTGCCAGGAGTTTCTCCTGTCTGCTCTTTCCTTCTACATACTGTCTGCAATATTCACCCTCCAGGCCCTCTGTTCATAGTCTGATGCAGCACTGCTTGCAGGATCTTGCTGAACATATCCTCCCTAGTCCTCTTCTTTCTCCTCATCAGGGTTAGATGTTCCACAGGTGTGGAGGGGTACCTCAAGGTTCAAATGACAGCAGTTGCAGATGAAAGACAGATGTAAACACTGTATTTACAGTTACAACAGAAAGGAAGAGGTAAGTTTCAAAACTCCCTTCCCTTATTCCCATAATCATTTTTAATCAGACATCCTTATCGTCACTTGAGCTTCAGAACACCTCTACATAGCACCACCCTCCAGCTCCAGCCATCGTGAGCATAGCCTGCCAGAGCAGGGAGGAAGAAGGAGGGAAATTGCTGGTTGCATTAAATGATAAAATTTTGGCTCCCATAACCATAGATACGAGTATAAGGCAATGGCACTGAACACTGGCACTATTTTCAACAGGCAGTGGTGACTGTAGCTGATACTCCTGAAGGTAACAAAGGCAGAGAGCACAGCTGTTGCTGGTGCCCTGAAGACACCCTGGCCGCGTGCCACTAGCCTGTTTACTCCAATGGTGCTTGCTGAAATCATTGCGGAATTGTGTGGGAAAGTTTCCTACCAAGAAGGAAAAAATAAGGCTATCATCCCTAGAAACCTTCAGGAGAGGATCACTGAGTATCTCTGTGAAAGTTTCATCAAGATCTCTCAGGAGAATACAAGGGATAGCTCTATGTACATAAACAAACTGCTCCACATGGCCCCCCCTGCCTAGCCCTACAGAAGAATGAAAACCAGATAGTTCTGCCTTTCGCTGTACTGCTTGTACTGCCTGGGGCAGTCCTCACTGAAAATGCCAACAGCAGTGCAGACTGCAAAAGGGAGAGCAGATAATCACCAGTTCTGGGAGTAACACTGAAGTTAAACTCACCAACCAGTTACAAACTGCACTTCTGATCTCCCACACTGGTTATCAAGAACTCACACAGCCCCTTTATTGCATTCCAGTTCTCTGGCTCCTAATTAGCACATAGCTCCAGTAAGCAAGAAGTTATTTAAAACTCTGGTCACAAACAAAATGTTCTTCTGACTCCAAAATGTCAGCCATGTTACCAGATCAATATTAGTTTGGATCTTATCCAAAATACCACACTGCCAGCCAATTCTTTAGCACCTAAAACTAAAGGTTTATTGTAAAGAAAAAAAGAAAGAACAAGAAGAGAGTTGTTAAATGGTAAAGCCATCAAATACATACAGAGACTTCAAAGTCCATATATCAGGTTCTTAGCAGTATTGGTGAGTTTGCTGGCATGAACGTTCCTCTGGAACATACCCACAGCTTGGATGGGTATTCAGTCCTTTATTCAGAGCTTCAGTTTGTAAAAAAGTTACTCCAGAGGTAAGAAGCAGGACTGAAAACAAAATGGAGATGATGCAGCTAGATGCCTTTTATATTCTTTTGTCATGTGACTTGTACTTCCTGTGTCCCAAACACAAATTGTACAGCACATAGCATGGAAAGCCTTAGAGTTCTGTCCAGCAGCATACCACATGGCTTGCTGACTCATAAGGTGTATCCCCTAGTTCCTTTCAGTGGATTCATTGTACAGTTGATGACCCTTGATGGGCCATCAAACAGGCTAGGCAGTACTGGTGCCAATCTGTTTGGGGTATCATCCAGATTCACAGCACAAGTTTGAAATACAGATATTCCCTACAAATCTATAAATCACAATACAAATGTGACACAAACATATAAACAAGATTATCATACTGGGCAAATTATAACATTTCCCTGACACCTTACACGGAATCTTCGGCACAATTCATTGCAATTTTATAACACTGATATTAAGAATATCACAGTGTTCCACATATTCCATATAGTGTCACACTGCTCTCTCTTCTCCTATGAGTAGAACAGTGAAAAGTTGATACTTTTGCCCTGCTAACTTGGGACTGAGCTGGGCACCATCTTTACATTTAAGCACTGTAAGGAAAAATATATGCATATACTTACCTGAGGTTCTTGCCCCTTCATCAGGCTTATCCGTGCTTGGCTGGTGGAACTGAATAGACCAGTGATACTCGGACCTCAGTGGTTCAAGGAGCCAAATTAGCGATCAACATTACCCAAAAGAGCCACAGAAGTATGAATTCATGGTTTCATTTACTATTTGTATATTATATATTCTATGTGCAATCTTTTCTTAATGTCCACATTTCTACAGCTGGTCTATCGTTGTGCCTACATAGTCTCTTTCCTACAGGCCCAGGAGATCCAATACCTCCTGTCTACTCCAGGCAGGAGTGCATCTAGTGCATGGAGCTTGCACAGTCAATTGGGCAGCTGCACACAACAGAGGAGAGCTACTAGGTGAGCTCGCCAAGGTGCGCAATCAGGAAAACGCGTTTAAAAATATTCAGGATTTTTAAAAGGCAGAGTGTGACTTCCAGTCCACGTGGACTACGTTGGTCAACAATCCTCTGGAATCTGAACTGAAAAGCACTGGTTTTAACCCATAATGCTCAAAATTATTTAGGGACTGGCAACTTGAGGGAATGACACTTTCACTTGCTATCATAGTCGCAATCAATGGAAGTGCTTCAGTTTGCTCAATTTGTATCTATCAGACCCCAGATTTGTTGGGCTTTGAAGCATGCCCAGATTACTATTTTTTAGGCAGTTGGGAAGCAAAAGGGTTGAGTGGGTGAATACGATGAGATTATTGTTGCTGCTTTTGTTGGGTGGCTGACTTCATTTGATCAGAGTAGTATCATGGAATTTTTTTGATAATGATTATTTTACACCATACACAGAAGTCACATGAGGTTTTACAAAACATAGATCAAACCCATTCCCCTTTCTCTATTGGACATGTATACCTGATATCAGTTTTCAGTGTCAGTGAATACCAATATATAAAGGGGGTGCACAATTTATTGCTTCTGTAGGCTGAGCTTATTGCAAATACCAGGGGCTCCATGCATCCCTCCATTCCCCCACACAAGCTCCCTGTGTGTCATGCTCCCACGACCCTCTATTTCAGGGAATTTCTCAATTTCTCCCAAATTTCCCCTGGCACAGGTTCTTTGCTCCCTCCCTCCTTCCATATCAGGGTCCCCCATTCTCTCCCCCATGCCAGGGGCTCTGGGTCCACCTGCATTCCTTCTTCCCCAAATTCTCTCTATTCTCCCCATTGGCAGGGGCTCCATGTACTCTCTCCAACCTTCCCCCATGCCAGGGTCCACCTATCTCACCACCACCATGATGTGTTCTATGCACCCCCATGTCCTCCATACCAGGATTCCCCAATTACCCTGCCAGGAGTTGTGTGCGCCCCTCCCCCATTCTCTACATCATGCCAGGGGCTCTATTCCTCTAGCTTTCCCCCTCTCCCCCCGACAGCAGAGTCCCCCATTCACCCCACCAAACAATGGGCTCTATTTGCCCCCATTCCTTTCCCCCACAGCAGAGTCCCCTGTTCTCCCAAACCCTGCAAGGAACTCTATGCGTCTCTTCCTCCACTCCCACAAAGTATCTTTCTTCCCCCCAGATTGAAAGGGAGGACTGAACAACTGGTGCCCTCTCTCCCTCACCTGGAGCAGACTTTTAGGAGGTAGGAATGAATGAAGTCCTCTCTCTCCTCTTCTCTCCCTCTGGCTACCTATGCTGGCTGAGTATCCTCCCCATGACTCCCAGGAGGGAGAGCAACTATTTCTCTTTTCAGAGTGGCAGCCCTGTTAGTCTGTATCAGCAAAAACAATGAGGAGTCCTTGTGGCACCTTAGAGACTACAAATTTATTTGGGCATAAGCTTTTGGGGGCTAAAACCCAATTCATCATATGCATGGAGTGGAACATACAGTAGGGAGGTATAAATACACAGCATATGAAAAGATGGAAGTTGCCTTACCAAAGTCATACCTACTTACATGTCAGCAATAAGTTTTACAGCTGCTGTTAGCATGGCAAAGCCGACACAACTAAGAGACTGACCTGGATTCTATCTTTTGTTCATATCAACAAAGTAATTTCTTTACATTCGAATCGCTCCTGTGCAAATCAAGTAAAGATAATGGCAGACTTGCCAACTCTAATGCTTTTTAGCCCTTTCTACTGACTTACTGGGAATTCCTGCCAATTTACTGCTTTTTCTGGCACAAGATTGTGGACTTAGTCACTTAGAAAGATAAGAGAATAAACTGTGTTGTATTATGAAATAACAAAAGCACAAAAGCTTTTTTCAATTTTCTTGACTTCCCTCAAATTGATATTATACAAATTTAGATTTTCCACACAATTTCCCCCAAAATGATAATAAAGCATATGTTTGAACAGTTTGTGCCTAAATTATATTAAATCATAATCCACCGTTTTTTGTAATAGGATGTTATGTATGCATTTGGATTAGATAAAGTTCACCAGGATCTTCAATGTAAATTAACAGGATTGCACAGAAGCAACTAATGGCCTACATTTAGTTTGCAGAACCTTTATTACGGAGAAAACATAAAAAGAAAATAATCTACCTTAATTCTCAGAGCCTAGTTGAATTTGTAGTACTCGAAGTTACGGGGAAAAGCTTTTTTTTAAACTTTGAAACTGAGCATATTTGATATGAGAGAGACACACACACACACACACCACGATGCCATAATGCCATTTGTATAGTAACTTTGCAGGCTTGGTTAACACTTGCTTAAAAAGTTATGTCGGCATAGCTATGACAAAACATGCACCCCCAACCAACACAGCTATGATGACCTAATCCAGGGTGGGAAAACTTTTTGGGCCGAGGGCCACATCTGGGTGGGGAAATTGTATGCAGGGCCGGGGATTGGGGTGCGGGAGGGAGTGTGGGGTGTGGGAGGGGGTGCAGTGTGCAGGCTCAGGGCAAGGGATTGAGACAGAGGAGGGGTGCGGGGTGTATGGGGGGCTCAGGGAAGGGAGTTGGGGTACACAGAGATGTGAGGTGCAGCAGGGGGTGTAGGGCAGGGAGTTGGGGTGCAGAAGGGGTTCGGGCTCCGGCCCGGTGCCACTTACCTAAAGCTGCTCTGGGGTGGCAGTGGCACGGACCGGGGCCAGACAGGCTCTCTGCGTGTCTGCCCTGGCCCCATGCTGCGCCGCTTCGCTCTGGGAGGCGGCCGGCACCACGTCCCTGCAAGGCCCTGGGGCGGGGGCACACAGGGTTCCACATGCTGCCATTGCCACGCCTCCAGGTACCTCCCCCAAAGCTCCCACTGGCCGCAGTTCCCTGTTTCCGGCCAATGGGAGCTGCAGGGGGCGGTGCCTGGAGGAAAGGGCAACACACACAGCCCTCTGCCCTCCCCGGGGACCCAGGAACGTGGTGCCGGCCACTTCTGAGAGTGACGTGGGGTCTGCAGCACCACGGGGGGCAATCCCGCGGGCCGGATCCAAAGCCCTGAGGGGCCAGATCTGGCCTGCAGGCTGTAGTTTGCCCACCCTTGACCTAATCCCAGTGGAGATGCAGTTACGTCAACAGAAGACTGCTTCTGTCAATGTAGAAAATTTTGTTCAGGAATCTGGTGTTCATACGCCAATGGAAAAACCCTTCCGTGTGTGTAGCTGCACTTACGCCACAGGATTATGCCAGAGTAGCTATGCTGGTATAATCTCTGTAGTGTAAACATACCCTTGGAGGGCCTGATCCCACAAAGCCTATACACATGTACTTAACTTAATGAGACTACTCGCAGTGCTTAGTTAAGCATGTGTATAAGTCTTTGAAAGATTGTGGCCTTTAACTTGCAGACCAAAGAATCTATGCCTAAACAAGTCTTTTCATAGTAAAGTCAAAAAGGTATAATTTTCTACTTTATAGCAAATCATAAAAAAGCATAGAATTTACCTAAGGGCACATTGTCCTCTCTTTGTTAACATAATACTGTGGAAATTAGTGGGAGTTTTAAATATTTACTGTGGAGATACCCTGGAACAGAGTTTCTCAAATGCAGCCACCGTGGCCACATACGGCCACCAGGGGCTTTTCTGGCGGCCACAACCTCCTGCGCTGCGATGGGGGGTGGGGCGGAGGGCAAAGTAGAACCCCCTTCCCCCTCTCTGTTGTTCCTGGATGCTGGGGTCAGCAGCAGGGGTTGGGCCCTGCCCCCCTCTGGAGACACCTGGGGCACAACGCTGGAGGAGCAGGCAGCCAGTGAGTTCCCCACCTTCCCAGGCGTGGTGGGGCTCAGGCTTTGGGATTCAGCTCTGGGGTGGCAGGGCAGCAGGCTCTGGTTGTGGGGCTTCAGGCTCCAGCCCTGGGCTCTGGCTGCGCAGTGGCAGGCCCCAGGCTCCGGCCAATGGCTTCAGGGTCCATCCCTGGACCCCGTCCTCCAGCCATGGGGCTTCAGGCTCTGGCCGCAGGGCTTCAGGCTCCAGCCCTCCAACCCCCATCTCCTCTGGCCCCCACTGCCTCCCCCAACCCTCCATCCAGGGCTTAATTTGTCCCCAGGCTTGCCAGGGCTGAGTAAATCTGCTGTGAAAAGTGATATTAACAAAACATACAAGTATCACTTTTCACAACAAACTTACTAGCTAGCAATAAATAAATTACAATGATTTGAATGTGTATATGTGCATATTTATTTGGTTTTCCTAAAGCTAATCAAGGATTTTAGGAAAAAAGTCTGAGAGCGGTCAACAGCAAGAGTTGGTGGCCACACTCTAAGGCCACCAAAAAATTTGTCCTGAGAACCCCTTCCCTAGAACTTGACAGGCACCAAATCAACTGATAATAGAATACTGATTTTCTTGAAAGCATGAGGCTCTGAGCCTGTAAACACTTAAGCGCATGCGTAATTTTAGTCACAAGATTAGTCCTATAAACTTCAACAGGACTATTCAAGTGAGCAAGGTTCTGCAAACATTTAAGTATGTGCATGACTGGGAGCTTAATTTACCAAATTCTGCATTCAGAACAATTCAAATTGGCGCCAATAGTACTATAGTTAAACTTGCACTAGAGGACAAGACTGATAACTGAAAGAATTCAGCAAGACAGTTTTAATAAATTACTTCCCACAAAAAGGTCTCAAGAATAATTTATCAGAATGAAGGAGAAGAAAAGATATTGGCCCTTTAAAAAAAAATTTAAAAAGGAGTTCAGGTCACTCACATTCTTAAGACAATATATATGGCCTGCTTCACTTGTCCAAGTGTTGAAGAGTGATAATCCAACATAATTAGTTACAACGTAGACACAAAATTTATGCTAAGGAGATCATAATGTCAGCAGGATGCTATTTAACCTCAAATAGTCAATCTAAAGAAATATAGCTAGAATATGAGCAGAGGTAGGAGAGATTTTATTTGTGCTAGACTTTTGTAGATAGTATACAAAATTCAAATGGATTATGCATTTTCATAAGGATGCGAAGTACCCACAGTGCTAGAGCGGACTTAATACAGCTAAATAAATATATATACACACCCATTAAAAAGGTAAGTCTAACTAAGTCTCTATTATTTGGTATTTATTATCTTAGATTAATTTTCTATTAGGAAATTAGTACCTAAAATTAAACCTCCAAATGAACAGAAATATATAAAATCTACCGAAGCATTTTCAAGATCTGAAAACCAGCACTCTTCAATTCAGGTGTTTTTCCTGTTGCTGCTACTGCTACCCTTTGGCTTTACACAATTATATTATCATCATCCAACACCAATGCAACATCAAATACTATATTTTCAATCTGATTATTCTGTCAAATGGATTATACAATTATCTGTTTATCCTGACCAGCTCCTTTGTCCTTCAAGGCTTGAGAGACAAAAGACTCAGCTGATCATTAGAAGATTTTAATATTTACTTGTCAACTAAATGAAAATATCAAAATATAATTAAAGTCCCTATTTTAGTCCTTATTTTAACTGCTATGATTAGTTTCTCCTAATTCCAAAGATCGCTCTTTACTGTATGATATTGTAATTCAAACTTTAGAACATAATTAAACTTTTAAAAAAATTGATAAAAGATAGAAATATTTTCAACTGCCAGTATTTGCAAACGAACACTAGGCATCTATGCTGAGGCATAGATTAGTGCCTCAGCATACTTCAGATGTTTGTAACTGATCAAATACACACTCTGGAACGTTATCAGGCTTGCAAAACTATTTTTGTAGACATTTACAAATATAAAATCAGATTAAAATATTAATCCAAAGAAAGTAGTTATATACAGACAAAAAACCTACTTGTGTCTGAAGGCAAGTGATTACGGTAAAAGAAAAAAAGCCCTCTCTGTCCTCCTTTCTCTGCTTCCTTTTTGCTACACCCAGAGGATAATGGCAACAGCCTGAGAGGGACTTCAAAAAGAGAAGGAGCTTTGTTTAGAGCAGAGACAGCATTCAGATTTATGGCACCATGAAGGGACCTTCGTAGAGCAGCAATTGGACCTTGCTCTACTCTCCATCTTATTCATATAAGAAAAATAAATCCTATAACATATGTCAGGACATGTCTACAAATTTTAACAGAGACATAACATTTCTGCCTCTGAAGATGCAAGAAAGGAAAGGGTACTTTCTTAAAATCAAACATGCCACGGGTTATCCAAACCAACCTCATGAGTAAAAGCTTAAGAAAAGAAAGGATAGACTACATCTCTGACAAACCAGTAATGGGGAAAGGGAAGGAGAAAGCATATTTTAGAGTTAAGGGATCTCTAATGAGAGAAAGCCAGGCTACTAGTCCCATATGTTTAAATCTAGCATTTCAGCTAACTTTCGCGGCTTCTGGAGAGAAAAGCAATGGCAGCCGGGGTCTAAGGCATATAAGGCTATATGGATTTAAGTTCATCTATATATCACAGTGGTATCCAAGTACAAGCATCTTGACCTGCACCTAGAAATAAACAGGAATATAGTCGGGGTGAAAGTAGGCTGGTACGGGCCGGTACAGTGTACCGACAAGAAGTGGCCCCCAGTATCAGCCTACCAGCAGCTGACGTTAAGGCGCTGCCCCTTCTCGCACCCGCCCCGTCAGCAGCCAGAGCCCTGGATCCTTTTAAATTGCCAACGGAGCCCTGGGCAGCACGGGCCAGGCAGCACGGGCCAGCCACCCCTTTCACCTTAGGCCCCTCCCTTTCCATCTTTTGTGTTACTTTCACCCCTGAATACAGGGGATGTTCCCTGCAGCCAATACCCCTTAAGAGGTAAGCAGGCATATTCTCCATCATCTCTAGCTTTCAAGTGATCTTCAGCTATAGCCAAACATAGGTTGTGCTGCAATATACCAATCTAGAAATCAAAAAAGCAGGGATATTTCTGTGGTGAGGTCTGCCTCTGAAATGTTTCACACATTTCTAGACAGGCACAGTTTTCAAAAAAACAAAAATAAACCAAAAAAACAACTCAGCAAGTGCTACCTACTGACAAATTCTCGGAGTAGATAAATGTCCAAGAACACCGCCAAATTGCAAAACTCTTGAAAAAAGATGGAAAAAACACCCTTATACTAAGAGTGGAAGCAACCACTCCTGCACTCCCTTTAAATTCTTTCCCCCAACATCTGACTTGCTGAGACTGAGGCTATGTCTGCGCTACAGCAGCAGCACTGCAGCTACACTGCTGTAGCACAGACATTTGCTTCAGCAATAGATGGGTTTTTTTCTGCTGCTGCAGTAAATCAACTCCCTCGAGAGGCAGTAACTAGGTTAATGGAAGAATTCTTCCGACAACCTAGAGGTGCCTATACCAGGGCTTGGGTTGGCTTAACTCAGGGGTGTAGATTTTTCAGACCCCTGAGAGATGTAGCTAGGTTGACCTAAGTTTTAGATGTAAGTCAGGCCACAGCTTGTTCACTGTCGCACAAGCCTCGGTTCCAGCTTGGCACTGGGAAAGCCTAAGGCTATTGAACAAACTTATCTTGCTTTCATTAGACCTATATGTATGTGTCATCTGCATTCCAGTAAGACAACGACCCAAATCATGTCACTATCTTCTCTAAAAGCCTCACAGTGTTGAGCCAAAAGGATAAGTTTTGTGGAACCCCATCCCACAAGAGATCCCTCAAGCAGCTGAACAACTGCCCAAACCTCTTAAAGAACAGAACCAGTTTAGAATGGTATTGTAATGAAACTAGGAAAATTGCATGGTCAAGAATATAGAAGGCTGATGTCAGCACTATACAGAACATCATTAACACCATTTCCTGTTGCCAATATGAATATGATGAAAATAAGGCCTGGTCTCTGGAGTGACAACTCTCAGGCTTCTTATTACTTGGTATCAGAGACAAAGAATGGCACTGAGAGTCAGACTTAGAACTGTGGTCCTTTCTTTCAGGGACTGCTCCAGTGGAATCTGAGACAGTCTTTGATGGCTTAGAGGACAAATGAACTCTCTTCATTTCAACAGACCCCGGAGTGCAATCTCCTATAGATGGCTCACCTGCAGAAGGAGCAGGAATTTCTTCTCTCAAAAGAACTTCAGAGTCTGACGTGCCTCTCATGAACATCTCCATTAAAAATAGTTTCAACCATGCCTCTCTGGGTTTTTGAATGCATTTTGAAAAGGATTTAGAAACCATACATTTTGCAGGAATATGGATTTCCCCCAAACAGACACTTAACATGCCTAACATTTAAAGGCATTGCTGCATCATCAAATGGACAGGTTTTAAAACCTTATGATTTGGGTTCGAACACAAGTCTGATAAATTAATTAGCCCTGATATCAGGACTCAGTAATCCTAATTTCCCACCCACCCATCACCACTGGGCTGAACAAAATATCAACAGACAAAAATAACTAGGAGTACACTCTAGATAGGACAGTAGCTAAGAGGACACTGGGTTTTGCCGACTCTCTGCCATGGGCAGTAAGAAGTAACTGAATGGCAATTGGGGTTGCTGTGCCCTTTATGCCCTCTGAAAGGGGAGTGCAAGGGCATACAGGATGTCTGCGCAGCCCTAGTGGACACTGCTGCTTAAAAACATTCTAAAAACTCTTGCTTATAGGGTGCATGGCCAGCATGAGTGGGAGCAAGGTGTGCAGATACAGTAACTCCTCACTTAAAGTCCTCTGGGTTAACATTGATCAGCAAGGTAAAAATGAAACAATTAGGGAACATGCTCGTTTAAAGTTGCACAATGCTCCCTTATAACGTTGTTTGGCAGCCACCTGCTTTGTCCACTGCTTGCAGAAAGAGCAGCCCTTTGCAGCTAGCTGGTGGGGCTTGGAACCAGGGCGGACCGGCAGCCCCCCTAAGTTCCCTGTGCGGCAGCTGCCCTCTGCCTTGAAGCTGCTTCAGGGAGCCTCCTGCTTGCTGTGCGGGGGGGGGGAGGGCTAATATTAGGGTGTCCCCTTCCCCCCGTGCTCCTGCCATCCGTTTACCCTATCTCCATAGAGCGGGGGGAGGGGGGGAAATACAGGGACGACACCATTACATAGCCGGTGATCACAGTTACAAAAAGCTCTGGTAGCACAATAAGATCACAAATGATGGACATAAACTGAATATCCACCCAGACCACCTTAAGGACCTTGCCAGAGACTGATCCAGGTGGCACTCAATCTGCAAGGAGGCTATGGGCTTCTCTACATTTAAAATGCTATAGCAGCACAGCTGAGCCACTGCAGCCGTATCACTACAGTGTCTCAGTGGAAACAGTACCTATGAGGATGGGAGAGATTCTCCCGTTTGCATAGGTAACCCATCTCCCCAAGAGGCTGTAGCTAGGTCGATGGAAGAATTTTTTCATCAACCTAGCGCTGTCTACACAGGGACTTAGGTCAGCTTAACAATGTCACTTAGGGGTGTGGATTTTTCACACCCTTGAGCAACGTTATTCCAACCTAATTTTCTAGCATAGACTAAGCTTCTCTCTCCTTGAGATTTGTGATGATGATGAAGAAAACTTATAAAGCAGTACAAAACAGTAGTTGTTCCATTATCTATGCATCACTGTTTTTTTAAACCTTTTTTTATTGTAGATATTGCATGTACATAACTGTTTTCAACAATATAAATCCAATCAATTGGGACACTACACCTATATAATGTCAATTAGATTCAAAACTGTTGCCCCTTTTGGGCATGCTCACAAATGTTTCTATCACTTTCTACTGGCTTTTTGCTCATCACACACAGAGATACAACCAATCAATCCTCTAGCCCTAGTGTTTTGCAAGTAGCAAAAGGTGCAACCAGCAGTAGTCAGATATGATGTAATCTGCCTCTTTCTCAGTCCTTGCCATATGACCCAGTGCCTTGGGTAGCAGTTCTGTTTCTACCTATCACTACACAGAAGGGTACCTAATTGCTCCTTCAATTTAACCTGAATGAAAGTTAGTTTGCATACCCATCAGCTTTAATCTGGTTTGTGATTGAAATCAGCCAACACCATCTACCAGCATAACACTACCAAATGGTAGGGATAAATTTATGCTATTTATTTTGAAATAACTGATTGTGCTTTCCTGTTTCTTTTCAAACTTGTCTACTTTCTGTGGTGTCCTTGCTGAGACTTGTTCCATGACAAGGTTTACTCTGATCAGGGTGAAACCACAGTTTTGTGATTCTCCAGAGTTTGCTTTTTTGGCCCACGGTAAGAATAGTAATGAAGCACTTATATCCGTTTTATGGAGTTAACATTTCACTAATTTCTAGGATACAGAATTATGGAATTTTAGGAACAACTTGACTTTTATTGTGCATTAACTCCTGATTGATGGAGAAAGTCTCCCTCCTCTCCCCACAAAAGTCACAATAAAGAATTTACAGTTATATAGAGATATACATGAAAATCCAAAAATCATTACATGTTATCCAGTCTTCTACACACAATTAAATTTTTATAAAAGTAAACATATGAGATTATATATCCTACACCAAATAATATTACCTAGCTTTCTGATGCCTGTCAAACTCCCATTAAGCATGTGGATTGAACGCTCAAGACTTAAAATTAGCACCTGCCCGAAGTAGGTAGACACGGCTGAGGACAGATGAAATTTTGATCTTTGTAGGCCAACTAGCTCTCCTGCTGCCTTCCCACCTCTATCCATGTCACAGACCCACACCTGCTTCAGTCTGCTCCCTTCCCTACATTCATCTTCCACAGAGTAGAATGGTGTCTGTGCTGAAGGTAGGCTAACCCTAACGAATGCCAACCCATGTTCATGTATTTTTATCACATAAGTATTATAAAGGGATAATGTACTCCCCCAACAAGGCATTCTAATCCTATCTGTGCACTGTTAGTCATTTTAACCACACTATCCTACACAGCCTGGTATTTATGGACATCACCTGTATATTAGAGCCTTAAAATGTATGGTTGAGGATATAATTGTTTTGGTCACGTATTTATTTTTGGTTGTGTTTCAGAATAGTACTGTAAATGATTGTCTCCAGAGTAACTACAAGAAAAACAAGAGAACAATGTGTTAGTTCTGGGTTATCTAGTTGTGGTGTTGCTCCTCTGAAGACTGATATAGCTACCAGATAATGTTCCCTACCCACACCACAGTTAAAAATTCTTTTTTATACATGTATCTGAAAATAGTGATTAAAATTCCTTAGTTCTGAAAAGTTTGCAAGCATTTTATGACATTACACAGATAAAAAGGTGATACTGTATCTACATGTATCACTCATTCTTTTTCCAACTACGATATACTACTTTGCCAACTTTAAAATAGGTCATAATTTTAATATGGCACTATGGATCAGTAATAGTAATTTCCCAGTTTCTCAATTAAAACTCAGCCAGTCAGTTAGGATTCCTCCCTATAGAATTTACTGCACTCAAAGATCAAGAAATTCCCATACAGGAATTTCTACAGGAAAACCTGCAGTAAAGCAAACAGAAACTCCATCTTTTTCTGAGATTGATATATTAAAATCATGCATCTCAAAATACACATTTCCAATAATTTAAGATACATCTATATAGTTAAGCCATATTTGCTTCAGAAGTATTTAAACGTGTGTATTATGATTAGGTACCAACATATTGTGAATCAGCTCAAACATTTAGTGAAGGATTCTATTTGGTTATGACTAAGTCTGCACATTAGCAGTTAAGAGATGTGCAATTCTTACTGTATGTGCATATCACTATAGATTATCAAACATTGGCATTTGAAAACCCTATCTTCTCACCTTCTCTCTCAGTACCTAATGAAGTGTATATACTTTTTTTTTTTTAAACTGGAAGTTAGACTAAATAAGAAATTATTCCAGAGGGTGTTGTTCTTGAGAGTTAATAGCCCCAGAGATGTTTCAACTGGATTTTGAATGGTAGGACTATTAATTTATTTTTTTCAGAGTAGCAGCCGTGTTAGTCTGTATTCGCAAAAAGAAAAGGAGTACTTGTGGCACCTTAGAGACTAACCAATTTATTTGAGCATAAGCTTTCGTGAGCTACTTGCATCCGATGAAGTGAGCTGTAGCTCACGAAAGCTTATGCTCAAATAAATTGGTTAGTCTAAGGTGCCACAAGTACTCCTTTTCTTTTTAATTTATTTTTCTTCTTCAAAAATTCAAGGTTGTACATACTAATCATTTTGTTATCATGAATTTTGTAAAACTGTTTTATAACACCTTGTTTGTTGACCTATTTGATGTGTTACAAATACTAACAATGGACACTTTTTCATGTTACACTGGGCTTCCCAAAGTCATCAGATCAAAGCGATTAAATCAGAGCAGCACTCTGACTGTATACTCAAGGTTTGCTCAATGCATGCTGTACCAGAAGAGAAAAAATACAGACCAACTCAATATAATTCATCTTCCACTTTCAATAATATTCAGTGCTCACACAAACTACATAAGCAGATTGAGAAAATGTTTCTCATGAAAACAGACCCATACATTTTAAAAGTGCTGCACAACTCCAATTGATTTGACACTCACATGACCAAATCTGCACAAATCTAGGAGATGCAAAGATCTTGCACTGAGACAATCTTGTTTAAAATCATAGCTAATTGAAGCAGAGGACAGAATATCTTTTTATCTAGTTATTTAGAAGTACCTCAAATCTAGAATCAAGCCAAGTACCAAGCCTCTGGGTGTTGCAAATCACAATTAGTGCTCCTATAAAAAAATGTCTCTTTAGTATACATTTTGAAGTTGTGTGAGACACGACTCCACTTATCAATAGGACTGATGCAGATAAATCCCCACATTGTGCTTTGAAAATTCACTCCTCTATTTTAATCATAGAAATGTAGGGCTGGAAGGGTCCTCAAGGGGTCATCTATTTCTAGTCCATCCGCCATCACAGAGGCAGAATTAAGTATATCTGCATGATCTACAGTGGCCAACCCTCCAGGATTGTCCTGGAGTCTCCAGGAATCAAAGATTAATCTCTAATGAAAGGTTATGTCATATGATGAACCCTCCAGGAATATTTTCAATGAAAACAGGCAATCCTAAAATCATCCCTGGCAGATGTTTGTCTAACCTGTTCTTAAAAACCTTCTAGTGACTAGGATTCCACAACCTCTCAGGCAACCTGTGCCAGTGCTTA